TTTCAGTACGGACACGTTCACCTCTAAGTCAAGAGCAACCATATCAAAGATTTCTGTATTTGTTTTCGCTGGTACGTTTGTGTACAGTGTAATCATCATTTGTGTGTGTAGACATGCGACTGATTTCCTTGTGTTAGTTTCTGCTCCTTTTTAACGAATGTTTATGAACATTCATGAGTACAATTGAAACTTTTGTTGCTCGAGTCATGTGACATAAGCAATGACGATTTACGTCTTCGCACTAAACAAACCCTGTTAATTTGCATGGTAACTTAATCTAAGGCCATTCCTTCTGCGGGCCAGGAGAAAATTATGCGTCATAAGTATTACGTAACATTATGAAATCGGATGTGAATGATTCTCACTTTACCATGGCTTGGCATGGCCAGAAGGTTAAGGCTCAAATTCTCATCCCACCAAACATGCTCGCCCCTTCAGCCGTGGGGGCATTATAATGTAACGATCAATCCCACTGTTCGTTATGTAGCCAACGCACTCCACTAAGCTCGATCTCCCACCAACCCAAACTCAGACGAAAGAAGTGGGCAAGTGATATGATGACCAGGCCTCTGGATTTTTGGAAGACCGTATTGTTCTCAGACGAATCAAGACTTGCTCAATTTTCGAACAGTGGAAGGATATGGGTCTGGAAAATGCCTCACCAAGAGTTTTGGCTCAACAGATTGCAGCCAACTGTGAAGCATGGTGGTTTCAGTGTGATGGTTTGTGAAGCTTCCGCATACCAATTATATTGTGCTACAACATGCCTAGAACCCAAGGTTCTCTCAAATTGTCAGATTTTGTTAAAGGAAGGATAGTTGGTCAAGCAGATGGTGGAATAAGTCAGCGGCAAATTTCGCAGAATTTGGGAATGCCGCTTTCGACAGTCAACAGAATCATCGTGCAGTTCAGGAAACACGACAAGGAAACAACTGAGGAGCATTCGGGTTGTCCTGGTCCATCGGAGAGGACAAAAAGGGCTGTCAAGAAGAGCATCGAAATGGATCCCAGATTAACGACTATAGGAGTGGCCAAAGTTGGTGGGATGAGCCCGAAATCTGTTCAACGGATTCTCTACAGGTTGGGTTATCGTTGCCAACATAGCCATTTTCATTTATATAGTGCTCTTTGAACACAAATTAGTTAGCATAAATCAGTTAAATGACGAAAAATTAGGTGTCTATTTACTTGTGACCACTCAGTGTACATTAAATGTACTAGAAAAACCTTTAAATACTCAAAACTAAAAATAATGACAGGACCTAAAAACATTTGTACACATGTGTTTACAATAAGTGCATAAATTTATGCTACAATAGTTTAAAATTTATAATTATAAGTGCTGATATTCGCATAAGGTCAGAGGTGTTTCTTTCGAACGGTTGTGTCACTTCACTGGCTGATTGATATGACGGCATTCTGGATTAAAATCCCACACCAGACGGCGGTTTTATCGAAGTGTATTTATGTTTTGTTTTAGTGCAATGCTACACAAAGGCCTATTTGCACTCTGTCTACTACGGGGAAATCGAACTCCGGGTTTTCAGGGTTGTAAGCCCGTAAACTGAACCACTGAAGGACCTTTATGGAATTGTTAATTCAAGCTTATAAAATGAACATTGTGAAACATTTTTTTTGTGTATGACGAACTGTACAAAATTATAAATACACGTGCAGTGAGAAGTCCCCCGGCGATAACTTTGAAAATTTATAACGCTAGAATTCGGGGTTCATTGTGCAGTTTTGCGCGGAAACAGACAAACTAAAAATGTTGTAAGAAACTTAAAACCCTTATATCCCTCAACAACAACAAAAAACATATCAACGCAAAAAATGGAGGTGGGGAGTACTGAAAAGTTCTTGAAAACTACCGTAAACAGCCTTTGTGAAGTTATTATACCATAAGGATTGGACCTTATTTTTGTTTTCCTATAGATTGATTTAATACTACATTCAGAATGGGACATTAATTTTTTTATGTTTTTCTATATATTATAACAGGATCTACATTTTGTTTCCCTATGTCTTTGGTACTATTCTGGACAGTGCCTTCATTTTTTTACTGTCCACTCTTCTATTCTTCATTTTAAGCAGCGGACACTAAAGACAAATTTATGTATTTCTTAGTATTCAAAAATAAGATTCATTCCGACGTTTCGTCGTTCGTTAGCGTATATATATATTGGATAAAATATTATTAATGATGCTTATTCATTAATGTTTTTATTCATCACTGATAATTTTGTAAACGAGTAATTCTCACTCTCCTGGTTCTTTGAATCTTCTTTGTGTGTGTCATACTGTTATTAGTTAACGAAGCGTTGAATTATTAACTTTCAAAATTAAATTTTCTAATATATTGTATTTTACACAAAAAAGTTCCATATATTTACTGTGTGTGTGTTCACATTTACATAGAGAGTTTGGACACACAAAAATCGAAACATTTGTCCAAAAGTTTTTAATATGGTGTTAGGTAACTATAAACTCCAAAACAGCCTTGTTTCGGTTGGGTATGAAGCAGCAACTGGTTAGGAGGTTTTAACTGGAATATTACTCCATTTCTTAGTAAAAACTGTCACTGTCTCCAATTCTTTCAGGGAAGTCAGAGCAGGAAAACAATGTGAAAATTTGGTTTGAAGAATAGCTTGATTGTGGTTCGATAGGTTTTAACTGAAATATTACCCCATTCCTTAATATAAACTTCTTCCAATTCTTTCAGGGAAGTCAGAGCAGGAAAACAATGTGAAAGTCTGGTTTGAAGAATAGCCTATTATGGTTCGATAGGACTAAAATGTGGCAATTAGACAGGCCATGGTTGAAGATAAAAGGCTTACTTATGCTCGATAATCACGTAACAACTCTTGCAATATGGCTAGCTTTATTGCTATCTTGAAACGTCCAATCACGAGCGAAAAATAAGTGCTACATCATAGGTTTTATAGAACTAAATGTTATCCTGCTTTTCAGTGTCTTGAATGTACTAAGTATACTTAAAACATGCGGGCCACCTTTTGGTGGAACTTCTTAAAGTTGGACATAAGATTTTAAACTGTGCAACTACCCAAGCTGTTTTGACACGGACACAAGTCCATTTGATGAGAGGTCTGATGTTGACTCATTTGGTCAAATCATCTTTCGATGGTGTTTCTAAGTTTGTGGTTATTACGTGCACAAATTTGCCTTTCTACAAGTAATGAATGGCTTGTAATGACTACTCTATTGTATTATTCCACACATAACCAAGTTTCGTGTTACACCTGTTGTTGGTGTCTAGGACTAAAGTCGGTGCACATTTTGGAAACCGTTGTTCTCTGTTACGGTTATAATGTGGGAGTTCCGATCACGTGTGGTTGTATTTCTACTAGTGTTAGTATTTTACTTGTGTATTTACTAGTTACAGTTCAGTGGATATCACCTCAGAAACGATTATTATTGATGTATCAGCAATAATGGGATTAACCGTTACATTGTTATGCCTCCCGAGGCTGAAAGGAGGGTATATTCGACGACGGCTTTCGATCCCACAACTCCGCAGGTTGCGAGTTGGGCGCCGTAACCACCTGACCATGTCAGACCACGAATAGTCTATCTGTACTGTATGATCTTGAGATAAAATATGAAGCCTTTTATACATGAAGAAACTAAGGAAAAATCTTTAGAATTTCAAATTTTGAAAACGGTTTCCAACTGTATTAAAATCAACAACAAAATTAAAACTTGCTTGACTAGTTAATACTATTTAGAAAGAAAGAAAAGCAATAGCAAAATGTTCTTTATGATCAGAACTTTTTTTACCTGTATTTTTTAAATTTGTGCAAAAATATTTATGGTTTTTCAGTATGATGAATTAATGTCTTTGAAGTGTCTAAGTTTTGAGTATTCCGCCATGACTTTGAAATAAATATTTTGTTTATGGTTTCTGTTGTAAGATATATATTATTTTCGTTATGGGTCAGCTTGGAGTTGTAAGCTGGGGTATTCTGTAGAATATATGTGTGAATGACGTACAGTTATTATTATTTGTCATGGGTCAAATTGAAAGTTGGGTCATTCTGTTGAGTATTCGTGAATGACGTAAAATTAATAATATTATTTGTTATGGATCAATTTCGAATTGAGAGTTAGGTAATTTTGCTGAGTTTTTTGGAATTACGTACAGTTATTAGTATTTGTTATGGGTCAGTTTCAAATTGAAAGGTGGGTCATTCTGTTGAGTTTATGTGAATATCGTACAATTAATATTATTATTTTTAGTTAGGGAAAAAAGTTCCTTGGGATATATATTGATCATTTTGCTGTGAGTTTCTAACAAAGACTGAAACATAGTGAAAAAGTACCGATCTGTACACAGATGTGTCTACATACGCAAGGCTAACTACCATAAAATTGAACAGTAAAACACTGATTAAGGCGGTATACACACAGAATATATAACTTGTTGAGACTTAGAACATTCAAAGTCGTTTGTAAAAGACTTTTGCATATTAGATTGGTACGTAAACCTCCATATGTATATTCACAATGTACAATAAAGAACTTGCACTTCGAAATAAATTCATTTATACATTTAACGTTCTAATTTTAATTATAAGTTTTCTTTTTTTTACATATGTTTACAGTATATATAGTGTTTCACTGATACAATTACTAATATGAATTACTGTGATACCGTGGTTTACAATACTGACTTACCAGCGGACGGTACTTGACTGTATATAATGCTTTGTAAGAAATTTAGTCACTGTTATTTCAATCCACTTCAACTAAAATAAAGCTGTAATTTGGTTCTGGGGAACAGTATGTGCTTTCGACAGAACAGAAAATATACAAATTACCATGAGTAATTAATTCCACTGCTAATAGGCGTAGACTTTGAGTTAGTTCAACGTCTGTTATTGATCCATTCTTACCATGTGACTAAGGACGTTTTTGATATTTCCCTCAAAATCTACATATTGTATGAATAAGGATTTGAAACAGACATCAAGACACACGTGTTTCGTATTCAAAAAGACAACCTTTATTTCCGTGGTTTTGTCGATATGAAATATGCATTAATTCATACTGTATATGTCGTACATTAAAATGAATATTATTAAGTTGTGTATACTTACAGTCAAACGTATACACTAGAATTATTTTTGTATATCATCGTTAATTAATATTATACCTATAATTTGCTGGAAACTTATGCTTCAGTAATATGTATGTGCAGTCTGAGCTTCTGCACTTACACAACCCCTTACAACTAACCCATCTAAATATAAGAACATTTATTCTAAATTATAATTTCTTGAATATTTATATAACAAAACTAACTACCTGTATTATTACGTTCAACATATTTACCTCTATATGAAGGTCATGTTAATTAAGATCATAATTCCTGATGTACCCAAAAAAAAAAAAAAGAATTCGCCGTAGTGGAGGAAACAACAGTTTACTTTATTACACAGTAAATCAATCATTACTTAGACCTGTGCCTTAAGTGACATGGGAATTGTCAATTAATTTGTACTGAACCTTTGTTCTACATCAGGCTTATGTTTCGTAATACATGATTTTATTATGAAAAGTGAAATAAGTGAAGTATTTAGGACGGTGATAAGTTTTATGGCTCTGCTCACGCAGATACAAGATAGTGACAAGCACGAACAAATTAATACGACCGTATGGTTTTTTCGTTATTACTATTTTGTTAAATGAGGAACGAAATATGGTTAAATATGGTTATATTTTCCAAAGCAGCGTCTGCTTATGAGAAAAACCCTATTAGTGTACTTTGTCGCCACGTTCTCTACTTTCACTTCTAGCTAAGTATAAAAATATTTTCTAATTACATAGTGATCAAACGTACCGTCTTAAGAATGAAAAGTTTAAAAGTCTACATGCACTTGCAGGACCAGCTATAAACGTTTTAACAAAGTAAAAGCGTTTGCTAATTTATGCTGTAAATTATTGATAAATAGATTAATAAATAAGACAAATATATTAACAAGTCCGTATGTATAGATACATGTACACAATACTGATTTCATATTTATAATGATTAAGGAAAAATACCAGTTTAAGTTAGTGCTGCATCTTAACTTTGAAAAAAAAACAACAACACACACACACACCATCTGAGCCTGCTTACTTAAGCAAATTAATTTCTCTGTTAACTATAACAGTTTTCCTTAATGATTGACCATTTAGTAGGGGGGGGGGGTGTTGACCTTGCTTTTCCATCTGTATAGAATATATTTATTCTTTACACCAGAATCTCAGTCACCAAAATCTTCATCTCCAAAACTTGTTGTTGTAGGTTCGAATAAACCTATTTTTACATACGTTCTATTATTATGCTCCGCCAATGTATTCTAAAACTGGATACAGTTAAGTTGATTCAGTAAAGAAAGTCGGAAATTGTACTTGTCCTGCGGTAGTTTGTTACATTACTGAAACCAAACCGGTTAAATTCTTTGGAAATCATTTTGGTGATAAGTAACATCTATCCAACATCCAGTGTAGTAGCTGTAGTTAATTACATCATACTGCGTCTTCCTAGATGGGTGTATACAAATCACGTTAATGTAACATCATGAGCAATGAATTTAATATTCAATAAAGTGTTCCTTTTTTTTTTCTTGCTATCCATTAATTACATCATTGAAAAGAAATATTTGTTCTTTATTTTTATTTTTTTATAATCGTTAAGCCTAACATGAGCTCGTTTTGTTTTGTACGCATTTGCCGGTTATGTCATAGTTAGCTTAGGCATATTACAATTTCATGATGATCTCTAATTTCAAGTTTTACAACCGTCCAGAACGTGTTCTTGTGCGACTTAGCTGTTTATTTTCAGGCTTCCACCAACTGCACAGTAATAGCTTTGTTAGTTGTAAAAGTTCAAGACCTTAAGATGCGGGTTTCTCGTGTAATTAAAACATATTATTTATTTGAATTAAAAGTTATCTAAACAGCATTCGTCCATGTATGAGATTTAAGAGAATGTTTTCGGGAATGGCCAAGAGACATACTAGTGATAGCGAATATCTGAAAATCATTATAATGTTCTTGAACGTCTACTTAAATATTAAATACGTGTTGTTGTAACATATAGGCTTACTTGTGATATCAACGAAATCCGGGTTTAATAAGCCCAAGACTTTGCAAATGTGTTTCTAATACATTTCATACGAATATTAAGATATGTCTATCTTGATCCCTTCAAAAAGCCCCCAGTGGCACAGCGGTATGTCTGCGGACTTACAACACTAGAAATCGGGTTTCGATACCTGTGGTGAGCAGAGCACAGATAGCCCAATGTGTAGCTTTGTGCTTTATTACAAATAAACATAAACAAAACATTCAAAAAGCTTTTTAAGTTTGATAATGTAAAATGTGTTACATTGTAAATATTTTGAGATAATACTAATTTCTCCAGTTAATGTGCAATATAAGTTTTAAATTAGAACATTTCCAGAATATAATAATTGACAACACGTGCAAGAAAAGCCAGTAAGTTTCAAGCGGTAGTTTTAACTATGGTGACGAAAGAAATGACGTTAATTTAAACAGGTTACGTGCTTTCATTCCACAGAAAATGTCGGATCACTGAGGACGTGTTCATGTAATATTTATATATATATATATATATATATATAAATCTTGTACTTACACAACTATATCACCTGGAAAATCATTCAGTCTTATTCTTGAATAATGTCCTTCAATAATGTATATATTGTGATTAATAATTGGATTTTATCGTACTTACATCTGTTTCAAGGCTTCAGTTACCTGTCTTTGTCTTCTTCAGATGGTGTTTTAAATACATAATTGTTAAGATGGTGTGCCATCCAATAGCTTCCTAGAGAAATTTATAATCCAAGATTAAATGGCTCTTCATTCTCTTAAGCTTGGAAATGTTTTTTTTTCTTTTCTTTTTTTTTTTGAAGAAAAAAATGGTGTTCATGAAGCCTTTAATAAAGTTCTGCCCATCATTTATTATGTAACATCCAGAACAGTCTTGAAAAGTGAGTTGGCTAGTAATTAAATATACATAATTAGGTTGGTGGGCTTATAAATATGTACAAAATTGGGAGGTGGTCTGCGGATTATCAAATAATTTCTTTCTTTTTCTGATATACACGCTAAAATATAGGAATGACTAATACCATGATGGTCTGCGTGCTTGGAATTTACTATCCATGAAATACCCACTAAAGCAGGCCTAACTGTGGAGTTTTATACACAGCATCGTGTAAACATGGACTAGAAATGCACAATGAAGAATGACAAGCATGCAGAAGTAACTATTTATGACAGATATAAATGACAGGTTTTGAAGATAACATCAACTCGAAACTTTTTTTTTTCAGGAGCCTTAACCGGCCCTTATATTCCGCGCTACACTTTCCTTAATAAGCAACCACAACCAGGTCCCATGACACGACTTACTCTGGGACGACTTTTGTATTCCTAAAGCACTGCACACTCGTCCGTTCCCCTGTCTTTCCCTCTCAAAGTGATGTAATGTTGCAGACATAATAGTACGTTCTGACTGGCCGGCATTCGTAATAAAGCTATCATGATTGCAGTTGCTGTAGGTTGTACGTCAAATCCCAACCGACTTATTTCTCATTTAGATTAAACCTTCCTACTTCCTTTGTTCTTAATAAAGACGTTTAAAGCCGAGACGTATTATTCGATAAAAAATAAAGAAGTAAAAATGACTGCTAATTTTTCATGAGTTATTGTTGGTTCACTATAATAGCAGCGCATTTGAAAGTGTTTAACATTTACAGGTGTTGCTACAGTTATTTTTATCAGTTTAAAACACGGTAGAAAACTGAGTCTTTGCCTTCTGTCCCCTGGTGGGTCAACGGTAAGTTTGCAGATTTACAACGCTAAAATCCGAGGTTCGATTCCCCCTCGGTGAATATGTCTCATTGCGTTGAATTTTGCTGAAACAACAACAAACTTTGCCACCCGTTGGTTCAGCGGTAAGCTTGAGGGCATATAACGCTGAAAATTGTGATCCGATACTCGCGGTTGGCACAGTGCAGATGGCATCTATCTACTACGTGTATACCTATCAATCTTCAACAGCTAACTACACTAGATAGGTAGAATGTTGAACGAAGTATCATTGGACCGATAATTTTCCCTGTCTGTTTCACTTGCAATCCTGGTTTCAAACCGGTGTGGTCTCTCTAAGCCTCGTCATCCATTTTCAGTATAGCGGCTGCAAACCACCATGTTATAGGCCTAGCTCTCGTATCTGTGGGACAGGTACAGTTATAGACTGTATTTAAATCATGCAATTCTTTGACCAATAAGAGTCAATGTTTAAAAAATGTCCAAAAATATATTTTGGTGCTATCAAACGCATTGCACAGTTTTGTAAACTCTTTTTAGGGTAATTAAGACACATGTCGAACACACAAAATGAGAGACGGTCGTTGAAGGTAATTTATGTATATTACTATAGGAAGACCAAAGCTTACTTACATCCTGTAAATATGTTTTCATACATATTATCGGTAGTCTCTTTACAGAACTGACTCATTTATTATTTTGACCAAATTTGATTTAAAATGTATTCGACCTTCTAACATACTGACTTAATTTTATCAAGCATAATTTGAGTATTAGATGGTTGTTTTAAAATAACTGCTTTGAACAGTATTGTTCCTTCACGTTAAGTGTGCTTCTACTTCAGCGGTAAGTCTGAAGGCTTATAACGCCACAAACCGGGTTTCGATGCACGTAGTGGGCACAACATAGATAGCCCATTGTATTGCTCTGCACTTAACAACAACAAAAAATAAACAAAATTCAGAGTGAATATTGCATATGGCTAAAACTACATCATATGAACATTCATTTCAGGAATATGTGAATGCTAAACCTATTTCTAGACTTTTTAAGATTCCAGAAGATTGCGCTGGGGTAATGTTTTGTCGCTACCCAATGCTTAACCTAATCTTACTGTAACGTAAACTGTTAATATAAGTATACCAGTATGTATGCATATATTAATACATTAACCTTTCCATTATTAACCCATGTTTCCTTATCCTTATCTAATCTGGACACTACGTCACCTAATTCTAACTTATAGGTTTCCTGCTCTCTATCTAAATCTGGGCTCAACGTCACATAATCCTATGACAGACTCATAGGTTTCCTTATCTTTATCTAAATCTAGGCTCAATGTCACTTAATCCTCACTTCCCGATAAAAGCATACAACACGCTCATATAGTTGACGTTTATTGTTTGAAAACGGCATCTTCTTTGAACTCTGTTTAGGTATATATTTAGGTATTTTTCGTTCTAATAATTCCCAACTCTTATCCCCCCCCCCAGTAGCACAGTGGGTTTCGATACTCGTGGTAGCTTTGTGCTTATCTTTAAAACAAACAAACAAACCCAACTCTTATTTCAACCCTAGTGCATTGTTAATAGCTTGCTTTTCACAGCCTTACCCAGGTAAGCTTGGGGGCTTATAACGCTCAAATGCGGGGTTCGATATCTGCAGTGGACGATGCTCAAATAGCCCATTATCTATCATTGCGCTTAAAAAAAACTAAGAAACGTTTTCACATCAAAATATACCTGTTATTACGTTACATTAAGATATGATTAACTTATCACCTTAGCATCAAAATATACCTGTTATTACGTTACATTAAGATATGATTAACTTATCACCTTAGCATCAAAATATACCTGTTACATTAAGATATGATTAACTTATCACCTTAGCATCAAAATATACCTGTTACATTAAGATATGATTAACTTATCAGCTTAGTCAACATTATTTAAAGAAATGTTTTGGACCTTGTGTGACATCGTAGTTAGCATTATTGAAGTGTCTTAGTTAGCATCACTGAAGTGTCCTAGTTAGCATTATTGAAGCATCCGAAGTTCAAGATGTGGTACTGCTGAACACACCCCGCACTTTGGATAATTTTTTACTGCTATTTAATTGGCTTAGTTTTTTGTGCTTCAGGGAGAGATAAAGAAAAAGTGTCAGTGAAGTAATTCTTAGTATATCTTGGTGCTTTCAAGTTTCATTAAAAAATATGATTGATATGATAACCAGGATCGGATATTCACGTTGAATAACTAGGTGAAGTAGCAGCTGGTGGAAAGTTTATAGACAAAGTTGTGCACGTGACGATTTCCCGCCATGTCTTGAGAAGCAGGTGTGAGATGTTTTTGTGATTTGCTAAACATTCCCATCGTTCTTATATTTAATAATAATAATATTCACTGCACCTGGCTTTAATATTTCCATTTCTTATTTCTTCAGGTTAACGTGTACAGAGTCGTACTTCGTGAGCGAGCTCCTCTACGCTCCGGCAACAGATCTGGAGAGACCTCGGGAGATCAACCTTGGAGTGTGTACCGTTGGCGGTGCCGAAGGGCGGAACTCTGGACACGATGTTTTGACGGCCATCCACACAAATCTTACCCATTCGCTATCCTCGGGCACGATTGAAGAGTCATGCAAAAAGTTAACTTGTCAAACGACTTCCGAACCGAGGTCACTCGCGCAGTTAGCTCCTCGTACCCCAGGGGCCTCACATGGCCATTTTACGGAACATGAAAAATACTCCAGCGAAACGTTGAGGAATCGTGAGTCCCCTTCCCTGCAAGGAACTGAGGCCGCGTACCCCGTTCGGTTTGAAATACCGGAGCAAACCCCAGAAATTTCTCTCCGGGGAAATAAGAAACGTTCTGTTGGTTATCAAATTACCCCTCTAATAAGCAGCAGCAACAAGGGGAGCAACGGTATGTCTCAGACTTTCTTACAGACTATAGAAAAAGCACGTACTACAGCTTCTTGTGCTACTGTTCGGCCGCAAGCCGTTTCTACCACTGACCTTTCGAGCACGAAACTCATCCTGCCAGACACACCTCCTTATATCCAGAAAGGCGCAGTAGAAGGGTTAAAAAGTGAAGTAGAAACGAATAGCTTGAAAATTGAATCATCTGTAAAATCGCCATCAAAATCGCAAGAATTGGTGCACGAGCAGTGCATAACAAAGGAAAAAATTATTCAACACCGTAACGCGGCCAAAACCACTGAGAATAGCAGCGAGAATACGGCGAGTTTTTTGTCATTTAGTGAATCGAAAATAAACCTTTATACCAACGTTGAAGACGATCTAATAAAAGGACAGATGCCTCATAGAAATTTAGAGTCTGGGTTTAGTTATGTTTTAGACATTGATTTGGATTTCTATTCTACCCAAAACCCTTTCAAACTGATGTTCACGGAATTCCAATTTGAAAAATTAAAACAACTCTATCAGTTTGAAAAGCCTGCAACTGACAATGTACGGGTAAGAAGTACAATACAATTAAAACTTCTTATATAACTAAAGAGAAATTCGAAGTTCAGTATACTCTTTATATTTTGTTTACCTCTCTGTATTACACTCAAATATACCTTAGTTAATTAAGCATCACCAGAGATCTCAGTCTTTGAAACGTGGCTGATAAGTGCCCGTGATTGGCAGAGATTACCGGAACAAATCAAACAGAAACTTGTGTTGTTACCTGGCACCACAAATCATTGTTTACTTACTTCAGCAGTACAGAAAATTCTCTAATTGGTCATAGGCTTACTTTAGCTTTTTAGAAAAATCTCTAGATACCAGCTACAGAAAACTGGTATTGTAAATGCAATTTTCTTTCGCTTATTTTAAAAAAACAATACTAGAATACAAGCGCCGATAATTTGAGAGTTCTAGTTACCCAAGGTCTGCATCTTTATCTGTAAGATGATATATAGAAACATCATTATTTTGTGACAAACAATATATCAGAGCTATCATTTTACGAAACTGTGGAGCTCAGTCTAATGATGTAGTAAATTATTGTTGTTTTTTGTAATTTGAGAAATCCTTATATTGCAATGAGAAATTCACTTCTTGAAATTAAGTTATTAAACCTCTACTTGGCTCCCCTTGTTCAGTTAGACGTAATAGATCTCATAAGCGTTTGTGGATAAAATGTATTCAAAAAAAAAGTAGATACATTTCCTCGATATCAAAGTAACGCTTGCCAATCTATCTACACAGTACAGTGAAAATGTATATGAGTAAAAGTGAAATGATGTAAGTGTTAAAACCACGTAGATATCGTTAAATTTGTGTGCAGAATAGGAACCTCCTTGAGGGCTTATAAAGTTAAAATTCGGGGTATTTTGTGTAGTAGAAATAGCCCAGTCTTTAAAAAAAAAGTAGACTTAACGCTTACGAAATTAACCCTGACCAGTGTTTGGACGTTTCTCTACGGCATCCAACATGAATTCCTTTCAGTCTCAAGCAAAGATTTTAATACATATGCTTTGCTGCCTTTTCGTCGATGTCGCCGTGGTATTTATTTGTAATTTAGTTACACCAAAAGAGTCCGCTTCTGTAGCTCATGCCAGTTGAAAATAAACACTAGTTTTTACTCTTTTTTTTTTTCACATATACTCCAGTTTGTCAACCATCGAAGGGAGCTTCAGCTTTACAGAATTTCCCTTAACTCATAATTCTTTGCTTGGGTACCTTCTCCATCTGTTTTACCTCGTTCAGTCTTTAAACGTTTGGTTCATTAAACTTATATAGGCCAAAACTACCCTTGTCAAAAAGAGTAAAAATAGAGAAGAGATAAAAAGTGCGCATGAACAAGAGGCAGTGAGTGCAGAATGAGGCGTGGAGATAATTGTATAGTTTGGCGGGAGCGGTTTTTTAATAGTGAACGTCCCGTGGGAGGGAAGGAGAAAGATCAAGGCCTGTTCTACGGCACGTACTCTCTTTGGAAAAAAAAAATAAATAAAAAAGTTGTTAAGTTGCCCCTTGATAAGTGGCAGATGGCAGCACCATACATCAACATTCCTATGTAATAAGTCCAGCAGGATTCTATTTTGAGCTTTCTTCACAAAACTTGTTCGAGAACGCCTTAGGGGCATGCACTTTTTTTCTCATACGTAATTTTTTGTCTCGTTTATCGAAGCTGAATAAATATAAGTTATTATTTCCCAGAACAAACAAAACGCTGTGATATTTGACTAACAAAACAAGTTTGCTGAATTTATATGTATTCAACGTTTATACCTAGATTATGTGGCAAATACAGAATATGTCTAATCAGCTCAGAGAATAATAGAATCGTTATATTTTGGTTTTCAGAAAATTCAGGAATTGATAGTAAACTCAAACTTTAGTTTCCCGAATCGAATAAATAAAAGTATTGATATTAAGTGAACACCCTGGATCAAAAATTAAGTGAATCATAAAATATGAACCCTGATAACCTGAGCGCTAGTTGAATCATAAAATATGAACCCTGATAACCTGAGCGCTAGTTGAATCATAAAATATGAACCCTGATAACCTGAGCGCTAGTTGAATCATAAAATATGAACCCTGATAACCCGAGCGCTAGTTGAATCATAAATAAGAACCCTGATAACCCGAGCGCTAGTTGAACCATAAAATATGAACCCCGATAACCCGGCCGTTAGTTGAGTCATAAAATAAGAACCCCGATAACCCGGGAGTTAGTTAAATCATTAAATAAGAACCCTGATAACCCGAGCACTAGTTGAAACATAAAATAAGAACCCCCTATAAACCGACCTCTAGTTAAATCATAAAATAAGAAGCCTGATAACCCGGCTGCTAGTTTGAATCATAAAATAAGAATTCTAATGGCCCGAGCGCTAGTTGAATCATAAAATAAGAAGCCTAATAACCCCAGCGCTAGTTGAATCATAAAATAAGAATTCTAATGGCCCGAGCGCTAGTTGAACCATAAAATAAGAAGCCTAATAACCCCAGCGCTAGTTGAATCATAAAATAAGAATTCTAATGGCCCGAGCGCTAGTTGAACCATAAAATATGAACCCTGATCAACCGGCCGCTAATTGAATCATAAAATAAGAACCCCGATAACCCGAGAGTTAGTTGAATCGTAAAATAAGAATCCCGATAAACCCGAGAGTTAGTTGAATCATAAAATAAGAACCCCGATAAACCGAGCTCTAGTTAAATCATTAAATAAGAACCCTGCTAACCCGGCTGCTAGTCTAAATAATAAATTAAGAACCCTGATAACCCCAGCACTAGTTGAAACATGAAATAAGAATTCTGATGGCCCGAGTGCTAATTTGAATAATAAATTAAGAATCATGATAACCCGATCGCTAGTTGAATCATAAAATAAAAATTCTGATGGCCCGAGTGCTAATTTGAATAATAAATTAAGAATCATGATAACCCGATCGCTAGTTGAATCATAAAATAAAAATTCTGATGGCTCGAGCGCTAGTTTGAATAATAAATTAAGAATCCTGATAACCCGATCGCTAGATGAATCATAAAATAAGAACTCTGATAACCCGATCGCTAGTTGAATCATAAAATAAGAAACCCGAGAACCCGATCGCTAGTTGAATCATAAAATAAGAACTCTGATAACCCGATCGCTAGTTGAATCATAAAATAAGAACTCCAATAATCTGACCATCGTCATACGCTGATATGCAACCCGTCATGTCTGCTCGCGGAAGGTAAAACATACTAGCCATAGCGTAGGTGCCGTGACCACAACTTAAGCCTTGTTCCTTCTATGGTTAAAGTAATGTCATTATTCGTTAACATATAGGTATAAAAACTAAACATCTCTACATGACTAACACTTGAGTATATATTAATAAACAAAGTGACGTAAAACTTAAACCTATGTAATTTGTTTATTTTTTAGTGAATGTATCTATAAGGAATGAAAGGGCGTGTCTCTCTGTGATGTAAAACTTAAGCCTATATAATTTGTTTATTTTTTAGTGTGTGTATCTATAAGGAATGAAAGGGCGTGTCTCTCTGTGATGTAAAACTTAAGCCTATATAATTTGTTTATTTTTTAGTGTATGTATCTATAAAGAATGAAAGGGCGTGTCTCTCTGTGATGTAAAACTTAAGCCTATATGATTTGTTTATTTTTTAGTGTGTGTATCTATAAGGAATGAAAGGCCGTGTCTCTCTGTGATGTAAAACTTAAGCTTATATAATTTGTTTATTTTTTAGTGTGTGTATCTATAAGGAATGAAAGGGCGTGTCTCTATCTGTGTGTGTGTATTTATGAGACGAGTTTCTCGGTATATTGGATATTCTATTTACTTTAATAAACTTATGAGCAGCACTAATGGCCAACCTCAGCAAACTATCAGGGCTAACTTTGGCCCAGTGGTTCTCGTCCCCTTATTGAAAAAACAAACAAACTCGCTCCATACTTTGAGACTGTGGGTGCGTTATAAGGGTGACGATAATATTCCGCTGTTCGGTCAGACAAGAGTAACCTAGGAGTTGGCGGTTGGTGCAGTTGACTAGCTGTCTTCCGTCTAGTCTTTCAGGTCAAAAAAGCCTTTGGTTTGTGCGAATATCCGAAGTCTAACAACCAGTTCGCTAAGTAACTCCTGACTAGCTGTCTTCCGTCTAGTCTTTCAGGTCAAAAAAGCCTTTGGTTTGTGCGAATATCCGAAGTCTAACAACCAGTTCGCTAAGTAACTCCTGACTAGCTGTCTTCCGTCTAGTCTTTCAGGTCAAAAAAGCCTTTGGTTTGTGCGAATATCCGAAGTCTAACAACCAGTTCGCTAAGTAACTCCTTGTTTTCGCCACTGCATGCTTGTGTAACTAAAGTCATCCCAGTATTTAACAACATAAAAATCCTACTTTCTTCGTAAGCATTGTTTCAAGTAGTTTTATTTTCCAATTTGCCTAAAGTAAAAACAAACCTTATTAGATATTCAGAATACTAACTTCGTTTATTGTACTATTTTCTATACAATTCATATTGTTGATATTGACAGAAAAAAGAAAATTCCACCCATTTTAATTACAGCAATTCTACATTGATATTTATTATGTATTCATATTTATTACACTTCATGTATTTGTTGTTATATTTATAATTATCTCACTCCTACATATACGATTTATTATGCATTTTCCTTGTATATTTATAATTATGACACTCCTGTACATAAGTATATTATTACATATATTCCTTTATATTTGTAATTATTCTACTTCTACATATATATATATATATATATATATTTATCGCGTATTTTCCTTTTACATGGGTAACTATTTCAATCATAGATACATATAACTCACGTCGTACATCTGTATATAACATTTTTCCATGCCAAGGTGTATTTATTATTTAACTTCTGTATTTGTAATTTTGCCACTCTTAGTAGATACATGTCACTCTCGCTATTCACTTCTGTATTTACAATTAATTTACTACTAAGTATATTTATTATTTAACTTCTGTATTTGTAATTTTGCCACTCTTAGTAGATCATGTCACTCTCGCTATTCACTTCTGTATTTACAATTAATTTACTCCTAAGTATATTTATTATTTCCTTTGCTTCTGCATTTGTAATTATTCCACTCCTAGACGTATGTATTGCTTTTAATTATATAGTGCTTATTGATCCTCCAAATATTTATGAATGTTTACTTATATATATTACATTTCCATAAAATAACCTACTACACAGTTTTAATAGTAATCGAAATGCCTAATCTAACATTACAAAGGTGATCTCTTCTACGTGGATTTCTAGTCTTACTGAAGAAAGCTCTCTACGAATTAGATTTTTAACCTCATATAACCTCGATAGTAAACTGTGTGACGAATATAGAAAATGTAAGCTTCATTTGACGAAGAGTGAGGGAAAGTTATTTTTTGGAACATAAAAATAGCACCGATATTAGAATTTTGGTCTCTTTCTTTTGGTATAGAAAATATTAATGGTTCTTAGAATTTCAAATGTATTGTCATTGTATTTCAAGGTGCATAATTTACACTTCGTACTATTGGAAAAATATTATTTCTAGGGGTTCAAGTATACACCGATCCAAGAATATATATTGAGGGCTCCACAATTATGTAAAGTTAAGACAAAGCGTAATCAGGAACACCAACTAAATGATATAACAGCTTCATTTAACGAAAATAAATCCCAAACACGATTCCAAGATAGTTAAGATAATTATGTGAGCCTGTATAATGTAATTCATTATACATATATATATATATATATATATATATATACACACAAAAAAACGTATTCGACGTAACGCGTACGAAGTTTGGAACAATACATTTGATAACGTTTTTTTAAATCAGAAATTGAACCATTTTTCTTGTATAGTGAGGCACAGAAGTACGAATCAACCTAACATTCAAATATAAGTTATAAGACTTTATCTAAAGGCATCTTGCATTTTTATTCAACAAATGTAAGCCTTCTTTCTTACCTTTATTTCGGTATTATTTGTTCTTCATCTTCCATCATACTGGTCGGTTATGTCAGTCTGTAACTGTATGACTACTAATAATTATAAAAAGAAAATCGTCATCAACGTATGCTACTAAACGACGTGAAAAGTAACCGAGTTAGGCCTAACTGTACTCGTCGTTGTAGTGGGTATCTGGTATGTTACATCAGGACTGGCCTTGATGATGTGGACTTGGAATCATCGCGAGCATGGTATGAAGTTCCTACGTTTAAAAACACTCTGTAAGAGCTCCATACCTCGCTCTCGAGAACCCAATTACTTTCTCCATTTGAACTCTTCGGTTTGACTCCATTAACCCTTTCTGCTTGTTCGAGCGAAGATTGGGATCTTTAATACGGGCCTTGCACAAGTTTTTAGGGCTAAATGAAGTCGATTTGATTTAAAACATCTTCCAGCTAATTGACAAATCTGGTTCTATACAAAGTTTTTACACACTTCCATAGTTTACTCTTTTCTTGCTTTAGTAAGCTAAGTTTTATTTTTTTTTAAGGATAAACCATTCATCTTCTCCTAATGTTCACTTAGTGTTATGCTGGGAAGTGTCACTGCTGTCGTTATCGTTTATCTTGGAGATTTTGAAAGCCTTAAAGTTAAAGGTTGTTATTATGTAAGCTTCTTTTTCAAAATCTACAAACGTAGGCTTACGTCACGTACCTCTGGAACGCTACTGCATTGCCAAAAGAAACCAGGCGTTCCTGTTTGCGACAAGACGCGTTCGCACAGCGAACACTAGCGGAGCCTCCATTGCTTTCCAATTTTTATCCACGGTAATGCTATTGATTCAGAGTCCGCGGTACAAGCTTTTTCTCCTTATATGCCAGTAATGATATCCCAAACCAGTGCACGTTACAGCGTTAAGGACTAAAACAATAAAGAAATAAATAAAACTTCTGCACGAATCGTTCAGTCTTTCCACAATCAACGCAGACAAGCAACTGCCTTTATCATCTATCTGCCCTTGTCTATCTCGGGTCGGGCGCTAGTTTCCCTACCGATACTGTCAAGCATTTTCCCTAACAGACTCTGGATTGGTTAACCAGCTCTGACAGTACCTCCTCTCCAATAGCTAGATAGCCATTCACGGTTGGCTTCGTATAACTTCAACCAATGGCCAAGCAACAGAACTAAAGTCATCTGGCAGTATAACTTTTTTGCTTATTACCTTCAACGCATTTGTTGGGAATTGGCCGCAATGAAGCAGGAGATGAAATTAAACAAAACAATTTCTAGTAGCACACTGCGCAGTCGTTGTGATGAGGGGGGGGGGGGCTATCTTGGAGAAAAATGTCAGCTTGCCAAATGTTGTGTGAGATGTATATCATTAATGAGGAGTCCTCAATGCAATTAAAGACAAGTGACAAGAATATGAGATTTAAAAATTCACATACACACTATTTTCTGTTGTTATTATTGAGATGGGTGGTCGTGGGTGATAATAAAAAACCTGCATTTATCTTGTCTCAGTACCCTCTTAATCATGGTACTTTCCCTTTCTGTTGTTTTGTTTTCAGTATTTATTAGTTCCATCTCAGAATTTTTGTCCTCTATTGCTAACTTTTTTTTAAAATCCCTTAGTTTTTCGCATTCCTTATAATTGGTTTATACGCTCTTCACATGACAGGAACATCCTTTCTACTAATAAACAAAGCATTCTGATTTTACAGCTCGTTTTTGTGTTTCACCTTCGTGGTCACAAATTCTTCCTCCCCACACCTTAACCTGATGTCTGGATTTAAGCCATCGAAAGTGCAGTTTTGAATGCTAATGAATGGCTTTTTTATCTTTTTTTTATGGGTGACTGGATTTTCACATCCGCTTTCAACACAGGTGTCTGTCATATTCTTCTTAATGAGAAAATGGAAGTCTTAGACATGGATGTATGATCCAAATGAGCGTGTAAATTAAAATATAAAAACTGAAATTACTTAAAATACCAGAGATGCATTAATTCCTGCATACAATTACTGGGCCTAAAGTCGTCGAAAAAAAACAAACACACACACACACACAAAAGAGCTGTAAGCCATGTGAATATCCGTTTGGGTTGTAGAGAGCTATTGCCTTTTACGGTGGTCTGACATGCTAAATTAAAAACAGACTTCTGATTTGCTACCATGCAGTTATGATAAACCTTTTCTTTTGTTGTTTCCACTCCTAATTGCACGGGGCCCAGCATGGGCATTTGACTCGCAATCTGCGGGTCGCGGTTTCGAATCCCCGTCTCACCAAACGTGCTCGCCCTTTCAGCCGTGGGGGCGTTATAAAGTGACGGCCAATCCCACTATTCGTTGGTAAAAGAGTAGTGCAAGAGTTGGCGGTGGGTGGTGATGACTAGCTGCCTTCCCTCTTGTCTTACACTGCTGAATTAGGGACGGCTAGCTCAGATAGCCTTCGTGTAGCTTTGCGCGAAATTCAAAAAAACAAACTAACAAACCTAATTGCACGCTTAACAGAACACGTCACGGGGGGGGGGGGCTTGTTTATATATGTCTACTATTAAAAAGTATATATCGGATGTCTGAAAAAATGCATTATATATATATATATTAAACTTTATGCATGTTTACTGAATAATCACTGCCTAAAACTTTATATTGTACGAATTCATTATGTGCGAAAGTATACACATATGGATAGTTTGTTTGTTTTGAATTTCGCGCAAAGCTACACGAGTGCTATCTGCGCTAGCCGTCCCTAATTTAGCAGTGTAAGACTAGAGGGAAGGCAGCTAGTCATCACCACCCACCATCAACTCTTGGGCTACTCTTTTTACCAACGAATAGTGGGATTGACCGTCACTTTATAACGCCTCCACGGCTGAAAGGGCGAACATGTTTGGTGTGACAGGGATTCGAACCCGCGACCCTTAGATTGCGAGTCGAGCGCCCTAACCACCTGGCCATGCTGGGCCATGTGGATAGAAAACGACAAAGCAAACCCCCAAAGATGCGAGTGTTAAAAGCTGGGAGGTTCTATGCAAATATGTGCCATATCTGTGAATACCTAGCACCTATAACAAATTAAAACGACTTATTTCACACAACTGCTAATCTTTGTAAACATCAATATCTTTATATGATTTTTGACAAATCAGTATAACCCTTTGTAGTCTACTTTACTGTATAACACAATTTAAAACAACTTACTAGTCATACATTACAATTTCGACAGTAAATTAAAATTAGATAATTCCTGTCACTGGTAGAAACAGTGAGAAAAAGTGTACTTGTAAAACTTTAACTTACAAATACCATATCCATCCATCAGAATATGTCTGTGTTGCTGAAAGTTTGTACATTGTGTTCGAATTTTTTTTTTCAACTATCGCTAAATATTAGGTTTTATTTATGCTTTGTAAAATAACTTGTAGTGTAATGTGTCTGTAAAGTATGTTAATGACTAAACATTTACGTCATGTTGACCGTGTTTGGTTTCATTTAATATACGCCGTGGAAAAACGTAGCTTGCTATTTTTGGATAGGTAACATACTACAACATTAGTCACTGACACATACCTTCTCCAGACTGGAGATTTCAGCAGTATAATGGTACTTCAACATTTATGGAGTTAGGAACTCAAAGATACCTTTTTTAAACAAGAGTTTTGTCATTCAGTATCATAATGCTTCAATTATCACTTCAAAATTAGGGGCGTCTAGTGCAGATAGCCCTCGAGTGGCTTTGTGCGAAGTTTACCAAGATAAACCTTTTTACTCAATACCACATCAGTACACTCTAACATCATGCAATTGAATATTTCTTTTGTTGGCAGTTTTATCACTCAGTCTCACAGCTGTAGCATTATACTTCAACACTACTCACTCAAACATTCCTTCTACAGACAGAAAGGAGTTTTATCACTCAGTCTCACAGCTGTAGCATTATACTTCAACACTACTCACTCAAACATTCCTTCTACAGACAGAAATGAGTTTTGTCACTCAGTCTCACAGCTGTAGCATTATACTTCAACACTACTCACTCAAACATTCCTTCTACAGACAGAAATGAGTTTTA